GCATGTATGCATGTATGCATGTATGCATGTATGCATGTATGCATGTATGCATGTATGCACGTATGCATGCATGCATGCATGTATGTATGTATGTATGTATGTATGTATGTATGTATGTATGTGTAGTTCGTATATCTACATACACGCACACAGTGTGCACCGTTTGAGTCGCACTACTTGCAAATGCACAGCGCATGAGAACCGTAGTGCCGTTGTGAGTTGACCCGATAGCCAAACCCCAGGATGTTTGTCCGGACGACAAAACCGGAGATACAATGATGCTGGTGAACGAGCGTCCTTAGGGGTCTTGATCCGACAGAAACATGGCCAAATGCATCCAACCATTTCACATCGTAAATTTCTGTGATTTAAGTACTAAAGGACAGGACGCAAATCCCAAAACAGCAGCACAAGGCACCCCAACCTCCTTGATCCACTTTGCCAAAAGCGGTTCCACACTGCTGCGCAGTGCAACGCCCGCCTCACCGACCAAGCCGGTATTGGCCTCGATCATAAGACCGTTGTTGCAGAGTTTTGGGTTGCGGAGAGGTGTGTTCCTTCGTATTCACGCGCTGGTACCGTGATTCGTTGAGCATTTTCACTGTTGATGATGCTGATGATGGTCATGACCATCATGGTGGAGATGGGCCGTGAGGATGAGTGTTTGTGTTCTCATGATACAGTAATGGCGATGGTAATTGCCCTGAATATAAACAACACAGGAACTTCGCTGTTCCGCCTTCCTCAGAAAGACAAGCTACTGTGAAAGATGAGACGGTGCATTGCTGTGAACGGATCTCAATATTATTGACAGTGCCAGCACCGATGAAGGAATACGCTGTTTGTTTGCAGTTGTGGTCGTGCGTCAAGGTAGTCGTCCTCGTCGTCGTCGTCGTCGTCGTCGTCAGTTTAATGTTGTTAAGCATTTGTCGAATGTTTTGCGCACGCTTTGAAACCCATGAGAACTTTTAGCGGCTTGAAGTGCATCGTAATCGTGCGTTGAAAGCATAGGTGGAAAGGCACTGCAAACCTAAGTAGCGCATTCCAGCGCTAGCTCATCCGCATCGAATATCGTGAGAAACCATGAACGACACCATTTCAAGGATTCCTATTACATAAGTTTTAAACGTCAAACCGGCCCGAACGCGACATCCTAAACTCTAGCCCCGAAGTCGCAAGTGCTTCAGTATACGCAGGCCCCAAAACCTGGACATTCCTAGACTTCGAACCAGAGACCCTGAAGCTCGTTCTAACCTTAAACCTCAAGCCCTAAACTCCAAACCCTGGACCCCGTGTAAACCCGACACTCTCGGACCCCAAACCGAAACTCAGACCCTCAGACCCAAGATCCCTAACCACATTATCTATCCCCAGCCCCATTCTCAAAGCATCTGCACCTAATCCTCGGAGTTGCTGAACCTCTACCCGAATCGCCAAACCTCACCCCACAACCTAAACCCTAAACCCTAAATGCATTTCCCAATTTTCCCAGGTCCAAAGGCCCAGTAGCCGCTCGCAGCCAAAGGTCGATAGCCCCAAGGCACAAAGCAAAAGTGATTCAGTGCTAGGTAGTAGGATTTTGGGATTTTTGGTGTAGCTAGGGTTTTGGACTTTCGGATTTGAGTTGTGCAGGGGTTTCTCTCCGGGGGGTTGTAGAATCCCGGATGTTCCGCGTCGTGGCAGGGCCTGTGAGCTTTCGAGTTTCTCGGGTTTAGACTTGGTTTCATGTCGTAACGGGGAAAACGTTTCGGGGCTGTTGTCTTCGTCCATGCTCCGCGCTTACCTACCAAGTTCAACTTTTTGAGTGTCTTCGCCTATCGTGTTACTCAATGAAGCAAGTATTTAATGTAAGCTTGGAGACTTCATGTTGCAAAGACAAAAGTGAACTCGGAGTGGGATTTCGAGGTTGGGGGGCTTTAAAACCCCAGCTCTAAGTACGCCTAAGCCCTCCTACTGTAAGGTACCAAGTATGTCCAAGTATGTACTGATTGTATTACCACTGCACCACTACGACGTACTGCGGCTGTACTCTGACTGTACTCCTTGTGTACTACTACTGTACTATTACGCTATCATTACCGTACTGCTTCTGCTGTCGGGGTCGATTGTGGGGGGAAGTGTAGGATGAAGAAAAAGTCTTCGAAATGAAGGGTGTCTAGTCTTGGTAGATATCATGGAGTGATCGGCTCCTGCTGTACTACGCACTACTATATCAGTACTGATATACTACGGCTGCTGTAATTACTAGTGTAACTGTACCATTACCTTACCAGCACTGTACTAGCAGTGTACTACTACTACTACTACTAC